AACTTGTATTTCCCATAATGCCACATGCTTCGGTACTGGCCCTCGAGAATATCATTTGCTCGAAGACGAACTTGGAGCGCATCCAAAGGAGCAGCGACCATTGATTGGAGTGTACCAGCCGCAAATCCAGCCATGAATGTATTAGACGGAGGGGCAGGAGGATAGACGCGTTTGAGGCCTTGGGAAACGGGTTCGTGGAGAAGACCAAGGACATGAAGATAAGATGTGTAAAGCACAGCGCCAACACTACCTAAAAGTGTCAAAACGTACAGCTCTGTGACCAAGGCACCCAGGAAACGTACGTACTCACCCTGCATTTGCTAGGAGTGGAGGTATGACTTGATCTGGGATGAAACGCCAACCGTACGTACGGACAGCATGAACAAGCAAGCCGGGAGTAGTTGTATGTAACGACCACCCGGCTTCTGCCGCACGAGGATTAAGAGCTCTTGCAAAAGCCTATTATAATAAGAGAAAGTAAGTGGATACTAGCCGACTGCTTCTCAAAGGCGGATGTAATACCATGTAACTGAATAAGCATGTCAATAAGAGTAGCTTTGAAAAGACCGATGCGAGAGTCATACTCAACTCGGGTTCGAAAAAAGGCCTTAACAGGTGCTCGGAAATAAAATGAAACGAACTGGGCGCTCAGGGCCCGAACACCAGCCGCTGATGCTCCAGTCGCTGCATTGGTGCGAGGATTTCGTTTGGGCTCCAGGTCGGAAACAGGATCAATGAGATATGTCGAGTCGTCTGGAAGAGGGGGGGGCATGATGTTCAATCCCCAGTCAAAGTACTAGTACCACCAGCAAAATCGCATGCATATATTGAACAAGAGGGGGAAAAAAAAAAAAAAAAAAAAAAAAAAGTCAGAGAATGGCCTAATAAAAGTAGCAAAAACCTAGCAGAGCCATCACTTAGTTTCTGCAACGCTTGTGGTTTTTCTTTTTCTCCTTTCTTATTTCTGTAGAAAACTTTCATGAGAACAAATAAATGCTTGTACATATACCTACTCCGTACATTTTAGTATGGAGTAGATGAAGACCTGGTGTTAAGAAGTCAAACAATCCAAACAATAATTGCGGGTCCCGAACAAACGCGCTCTCGCGTCCGCGGTACGAAATACAGAATATTAATACTCCATACCTCTCAACCCAGGGGAGCTATTGTCTCTCTTTCACTTTATCATCGGAACTCCACAGAATGGGTATTTAGTGCCCTGTCAAAGCCAGAAGTCGAAGCCGAGCTGCGACAAGGGATTTATTTTATTACCTTGAGATTTATTTTATTACCTTGAATCGCAATCTGTTACTTGCGAGGAACAGAGATTGTGACTCAGGGCGAACGCATCATGGCCGACGAGATCGTAATTGATAAAAATGCCTTCTCTAACCGACTATCGAGCTTTTACACAGCATGGAGGGCAGACAAGCGTTCAGGCAATGCTGTGTTTGGTGGCGTGGGCTCGATAATCATACTCATGGGGAAGACAGATGAGGCAAATTCTTTTCAAAAGAATAATGCAATGCATGTGCGTCTCATGTGCTTTTTTATGTTCTTTTTCATGTCCTTCTTGCCTTTTGCCAAGCTGACCGTCGAAATTACAGTTCTGGCTCCTTGGATACGAGTTCCCAGCGACTCTCTTGGTACTCACTACTGAAGTGGTTTATGTGGTCACTACAGCAAAAAAAGGTAAACCAAGGGTATCAAATGAAAGGCTCAAGTCACTAACACCAGCGCAGCAAAGCACCTTGAGCCACTCAAAGGCGGCAAAATACCCCTGGAGATCCTGGTTACCAGCAAAGAACCAGAGCAAAAGAAGAAAGCTCTTGATAAATGCTTAGAAGCTATCAGAAATGCCGGGGTATGAGTCTCAAACCAAAATTATATTTCTGAGGGCGGGAGAGATACTAACCCAAAAGAAAAAAAACCTATAGAGAAACGTCGGCGTACTTCCCAAAGACTCGTCTACTGGACCTTTCGCAGATGATTGGAAACGAGCGTTTGCGGAGGTATCTGGTGAATTAGAAGAGGTTGACATTGCTCCGGCTCTTTCTTCGGCCGCTTTTTCGGTGAAGGATACCGATGAGTTGGTGGGTTTTAAACAATGACTCGAGATATAGAGACTGACTTTTACAAGGTCTCGATACGCAATGCATCGCGAGCATGCAGCGGTCTCATGTCAGACTACTTTGTTGATGAAATGTCTCGTTTACTTGATGAGGAGAGACAAATGACACACAAAGCGCTGGCCTCTAGAGTTGATGCCAAAATCGACGACGCGAAATTCTTCAATAAGTTGGAGAAGCTCCCTGCGGAATTTGATGCACAACAAATCGACTGGGCCTACGGTCCGGTCATTCAAAGTGGGGGGAGATATGATCTGAAGCTGACAGCTACGTCGGACAACAGCAACCTCGAACCAGGAATCATCATTGCTGGTTTTGGTATTCGGTACAAGACTTACAGCTCGATTATTGCGCGTACTTACTTGGTAGATCCGAGCAAGACCCAGGAAGCAAATTATGCCTTCCTTTTGGACGTCCGTGAAGCGATCATGAAGGACGTCCGCGATGGTACTGCGGCCAAAGACTTATACAACAAGGCGATCGGCTTGGTTCGCGCCAAGAAACCGGAAATCGAGAACAGCTTCGTCAAGAGTGTCGGCGCTGGCATTGGAATAGAACTACGCGACTCCAACATGATGCTGAACGGGAAGAACAACAGGGTGCTGAAGAGTGGAATGACGCTTTCAATTAGCGTCGGATTGACGGACGTTGAAGATTCGAATGCTAAGGACAAGAAAAACTCACTCTACTCGATGGTCATCACAGATACCGTACGCGTTGGCGAGAGCGGTCCACATGTTTTCACCAAGGATGCCGGTATTGACATGGACTCCGTGTCTTTTTACTTTGGAGATGAGGAAGAACAGGAAAAACCGGTTAAGGAGAAAAAAGAGGTTAAAGCCAGTGCCGTTGCTGGTCGGAATGTTACACGAACAAAGCTTCGTGCCGAACGACCGACACAGATCAACGAAGGTGCAGAGGCCCGCCGCCGCGAGCATCAGAAGGAACTCGCCTCAAAGAAAACTAAGGAAGGCCTTGAACGCTTTGCTGGCACGACCGGTGATGAAAACGGTGTTGCCCAGAAAAAGTTCAAACGATTCGAGTCGTACAAGCGAGACAACCAATTTCCGTTGAAAGTCAAAGATCTCACGATTTATGTTGACCATAAGGCTTCGACTGTCATAGTTCCCATAATGGGTCGTCCAGTACCATTTCACGTCAATACCATCAAGAATGCCAGCAAGAGCGACGAAGGAGAGTATGCCTATTTGCGGATTAATTTCCTTTCTCCTGGTCAGGGAGTTGGCAGAAAAGACGATCAGCCATTTGAAGATCTGTCGGCACACTTTCTGCGTAACCTGACGCTCAGGTCCAAAGACAACAACCGGCTGGCACAAGTTGCGCAGGATATAACCGAGCTTCGAAAGAATGCTTTGCGGCGAGAGCAGGAGAAAAAAGAGATGGAGGATGTGGTTGAACAGGAGAAGCTAGTTGAGATTAGAAGTACGTGCGATCTATTTTGACAACGCTTCTGGGCATGCTAACGAGTTATTTAGACCGCCGTCCCGTGAAACTGCCGGACGTCTATCTAAGGCCTCCATTGGATGGGAAGCGCGTTCCTGGAGAAGTTGAAATCCATCAGAATGGTCTGCGCTACATGTCTCCGTTCCGCAACGAGCATGTAGATGTGCTCTTTAGCAATGTGAAGCACCTTTTCTTCCAGCCTTGCGCTCACGAATTGATTGTTCTGATCCACGTTCATTTGAAAACGCCCATCATGATTGGCAAGAGAAAAACAAGAGATGTGCAATTTTATCGCGAAGCCACTGAAATGCAATTCGACGAGACCGGTAATCGCAGGCGCAAGCACCGCTATGGCGATGAAGAAGAATTCGAGGCAGAACAGGAGGAAAGGCGTCGAAGAGCTGCACTGGACCGAGAATTCAAAGCCTTTGCCGAGAAAATTGCAGATGCTGGAAAAGACGAGAGTGTTGATGTCGATATTCCGTTCAGAGAAATCGGCTTCACCGGTGTTCCAAATCGCTCTAATGTCCTGATTCAACCTACCACGGACGCCCTCGTTCAACTGACTGAGCCGCCATTCCTGGTCATTACATTAAACGAGATTGAGATTGCTCATTTGGAAAGAGTTCAGGTAATGTCTACTTCTATATCAAAGATAACCTAGACTGGGTTGATTCCCTAACGACTTGCAGTTCGGACTGAAAAACTTTGACCTTGTTTTTGTGTTCAAGGATTTCCACAGACCACCGGTTCACGTTAACACGATTCCGGTAGAGTCTCTAGAAGCAGTCAAAGATTGGCTAGATTCAGTCGATATTGCGTTCACAGAGGGACCCTTGAATTTGAATTGGACAACTATAATGAAGACCGTAGTGAGTGATCCATACGGATTCTTCGCTGACGGGGGCTGGTCATTTTTGGCAGCCGAGTCTGATTCTGAAGGCGATGACGATGAAGAAGCAGAGTCTGCATTCGAACTGTCTGAATCGGAATTGGCTGCAGCGGATGAAAGCTCTGAAGATGATAGTGAATTCGATGATGATGCCAGTGCTGAAGCAAGTGAAGAGGAGGAATTTAGCGCAGATGATGAGAGCGGTGAGGACTGGGATGAACTGGAAAAGAAAGCTAAGAAAAAAGACCGGGAGGGTGGCGTGGATGATGGGCAAGGGAAAAAACGAAAGAGGTAGTGGGTAGAGGGCGCGCATTTGCCTGGATTTTGTTCTTTCAAGTCTGTTGTTCATTTCAATTCCCAGTATCCTTAGGAAAGCAAGAGGATTGCAATGTCAGTTAGAGAAAGCCTTGGCCTTAATGTAATCAATCATGTCGAGCTTTCTACTCAGGCGTATGCTAATACATTTCTCTCTCGTACAACAATAGAAAAAAGCTTCTGACAGTATAATTCATGATTTATTTGCCTTCCCTGGTAGCTGACCACATACCTCTCATCCTCCTTGTCTGCCCCGGCGTAAAGCTCTCATAACACTCATCTGAAGAATAATCCATGAAATTATGAATGGCATCTACACCAGGGCAGCTCGGGCATGAATTCTTCTCTGAAGGACATCCTTGTGTTGGTACAGCCTCCTGTGGAGTATCTGTGATATAATCACCATCATTATCAGGAGAACATGACTCTCCTTGAAATGTATGTAATAACCCATTCCAGTGTCCAACTTCATGTATTGCAGTGCCACCATGATTGTAACCTGTCAAAGGACCACCTGGCATTGTTCTAGCAAGCACATTACACCCATCCTTGACATAATCACGACGCGGGCTGCTTGCATTTATCTTGGGGTCCGGCATCGTGCAAAACCCTAAGACAAGCGAGGTCAACCCGGTCGAAAGGTCACTTTGTCGGTCAAAGTCGTAAGGAACGAGCCTTCCATTTCCGCCATGACTTGCTTGAAGATCCGTCTGGAAGTAGATATTGAGGGTACTGTAGCCTCCTTTGCGAAGGTTTTCTTTCATATCCAGGTCATTCCCGTTGCGGGCCCATGTGTCATTGATGCTGCGGGTGACACCCTGTAGCCGATATGATATTGATGCGCTTTTGTATGCATTTTGTAGTGCTGAGAGCTTGACCATGGTCAGATCATCAATTTACCTTTGGTGCCAATTTATTGTCACCTTGACAAGCAACTAACCTGGGCAAGGACCATTTCATCTGAGACCAATTTAGCCGCCGCCTCACTACTAATAATGTGGAACCATATATCGATGTAGATTGTCGCCAGTATTTCTCTATTTTCTGAATCAGGTGTCCCATTATCGGCTTCCGCTAGGCCCAATCGTTGATGTTCTTGAAGAAGTAGATCGCCTGGAGTGCCGGTCATGCAAGAGGCATGACTTCGAACCTCAAACACTTCGCATTGCGCCTGTAGATTTGTGGATAAAAAAATAACAAGAAGATGAAGCCCAAAGATCCAAAACATGTCGATATGCCTCGTGCCCAAGATGTTGCTTCCAAAATTGAAAGCTACCATGCGAAATAAAAACCATCTAGGCTGTGTCAACAGTCATATGGAATGTGATCAACTCGCGTCGCGGAGCCTCCGAAGGAGCATACACCTGGTATGCTCTTGAAAGGGATAAAAAAAAAAACATTAGCGAAATGGTATTCCCTAGACCCGCTTTTTTTTCTCTTTCACCTGCATCAATGTAGCGAGTACTTTATCTTGGGATGTGAGAATAGATTGCACGGGACAAACTAATGAGTTGTACATCCATTTAATTGTAAGCATTGACATAGGGCCAAACCCGGAACTCCACATAAATAACGCCTCCTTCCGAATAATAGATTCAGAAATGAATTCCATATTACCCCTGGTAGTTCCACGTACCGAGACAAAAAAAAAAAAAAAAAAAAAAAA